CCCAGCTCCCCAGGGCAAGCCTGAGCCGGACTTGGGCGACGTTTTCTGGAAAAGAGACCGGGCGGGCCGCCTTCGCGGGCTAACGCGGTTCTGAGCCGATGTAGTTGGAGGCTCGGAACGTTCTGCCTGAAGTGTACGGAAAAAGCACAACGAACACCGCGGCGCACCCCGAAAACGTGGCGGCGCCGAGAGGTTACTCGGAAAACCGCGAGTCCTCGGAGACACACGAGAAGGCGTCTTCTTAAGGTACGTCTTAGCCCGTTAACAGCAAGGTTCTCCCTGTAGGACACCACACACCTACGGTGACCTCCTGACCCAAAATAAAGCTGGCGTATGCACATCATGAAAACCCGTCTCTTTCAAAATACCGAGTCCCTTATTCTGCACGCTTAAAAAGAAGGCACGTTTACGCATAACATACTTGGGAACACAGACAATACCTTCTTCATCTACATCACAAACTCTTGGTCCATGACTATGGAGTCTAGGCTCTCTTTCTGCAGGTAGGGAAAAGTTTTCCTTTTCACCGTTCAACAAGGATCGTGCCCAGCGTTACCACCAAACTCCCACAACCCCTCCAAAGATTTGGTAAGGCTAAGTTACATTAGGACTCAAGTTCTCAGGTTGTGCTCAAAATGTGTTCTCAGCTTTCCTCCACAAACAAAAAAAATTTAGTATTTTAAGTGGAGGGCTTGTAGGAAAAAAAAACCACTGTAAGGTGTTCACCATAAGATAACGGACACAGCATTCCAGTGTGCAGTAGCACATCTTAAACACCTGTTTATTTCTGGCAACAGTTGCTTCATGCTTTCATTACTGAAATTTGTAATTACCTGCAGCATTCCTGCCCACCTTGATAGTTGTTTTTTCCCAAACCAGTGAAACGTCCCCCTTTACAGCCAGCAAAGCATTTCCTTGTCTACTGACCTCCCTAACAAGCTAAGACTTGGCACTCTAGAGCATTTCCCTGTGGAGAGAAATTTGCCAAAGAGCACATGCAAGACCACAAGTTAACCTTCACCTCTCTTGGTCTTTGTCTGAAAAAGCAATGAAGTGATTTTTCTCATAGCGAATTATTTACAGGATAAATTTCCTTTTTACATAGAAGCCATTTTGATCAAGCCTCAAGATTGAACCACTTACATGACTAGACTCAAAGCTCAATTAAGTGGTCCTTATATAGCAGTATCCAATGCAAGAAGACTCAGTGACAAATGACACGAGGTTTGAAAATGCACAGAGAGACTCAGCTGTCACCCCTTTAAGTGGCTGCTTTACGCTGCTTCAGAAAAGATTAGAAAACACTATTCTCCCACCTCTCCCAAATCTACACAAACCAAAAGCTTGGGAAGGTGCCTGTAATTCTGTCTGGATCCCCAAATAAACCTCTCCTTTCCTGGAGAAAAAGGCAGAGGAAGATCACTTTAACCTCCAGCATTAACAGATGAAGTAAGGGGCAAAGCCACAACAAACCCATCTACAGCCTTACAGTACCCAAAGCAGCAATGATAACTGCAGGAGCTTGAACTGATCCCTCTCCTTTACCCTCTAGAGAGGGCAAAAGCACAGACAGCTCCAGGCCTGTCACTGACACTCATCACTATCTATTCTGAGGCAAGCACCCTCAATCAAGTGTTAGTCTACAAGAGATCAGCTCTTGGAACAAGGAACAGCTGGTTCAGACAGACAAGACAGAAATTACACTGCTTAGGAAGACAAAGTACTCTGAAATCTCTGAAGTCTCCTCCATGCAGACTGAAGGTATACATCCTTAGCTCATTCAAGCAGTGCAAATACTTTTGTTGGAACCTAACTTTCCTTGGCAGCCAGGCAACATCATTCCAAAAGGGTTTTTTTCCTGTTCTAGTTTACTAGCAAGCATCTTCCCAGCTACAAAGATGGCCATATGGAGAGGCATGCACCCCTTTCCTCAGGATGGAAGTACAGGAGCTGTTGGATACTAAGTAAATATGATCACAGGCAATGCAAACGTCATAGCCTAATGGTATTTTTTTTTAAGTTACTAATGTTCACTTGTGATGAACTTCAAATTCTACGAAATTGTGAAAAAACTCCCTAAAACCTCTTCAACACTGTCATCCATGGCAGTCAGCATATTCCATGCTTCACTGCTAATTCCTCACATTTCCCTGAAAAGGACAAGTGAACCAGACAAAATGGTAGAAAAATAGATGAGACGAAAGTCAAGCTTATCCTTGAAATACATTTAAATATTATAAAAACTAAGGGGCATGTTTTCCTACATTCCAGTTGACGTAGCTCTTAAAAGGCAATGGTCACATTTTCTCAAGGCATGCCACAGTGAAGCAGAGTGTTGACTCTGCTGTTTTTCCTTCGCAAATCTACTATGGCTTCTGGCTCCTGGCAAGTGCTAGAAGCTGGCAGACGAGTCACTATTCATCTCTTAGTACGGAGTTGGCAGAGGTCAGCACAGCACGTGTTACACAAAACTGCACAAAACAACAGAATATGGAATAATCTGAATCTATGAAGTGTTTCTTATTTGTATTTATATTAATTTAAACAACTAAGTTATTTTTTATGAAGGTACCTAAAGCTGGACAGTTTTTATCCATACTATTCCCTGAAGTTTTAGAAACTACCAACATTTCCATATATGCAAAACTCCTTACAAACAAGATTATTATCAAAGGTGTGCTGTCTACTCAGCAGGGATTTAAATCTTTATCTTGCTGCTTCTGCAAGAAGAAATATAGTTGTTTCTCTTAGAAAATGAGTAGTTCACTGTATTTAGAACATCTTTGCATCAATTTGGAAACTGACTTTTATACATAAATATTTTTATTTAATCGAATTGTTTTCAAGTAAGAAAAAAAGTAGGTTTGATTTTTTTCTCTTGGTATGGAAGAACATTTACTAAACAGATGATCAGAGTATATTTACATTCCAGCAATGCTGTCACCTTAGCAGCTCTGTAGCTGCCTCCTCTCTTGAACCTGCCAGTGACTCCACCACTACCTCCACCTTGCGATAGTACCCTTAACACTTCTTACAGTCTAGAAGAGAGCCGAGTTCTGGCAGCAGCGGAAAGCCAGGGTAGAAGAAACCAGAAGATGTATCTTGGCATGGGAATCATGGCAGCTGCTTGGGGAGACGTAAGTGAAAGAAAATCACTTCTCTAGACAATTTTGGACTTCCAACACCTTCTTCACAAAACGTGCGAGCACAAGAAGTGTTTTAGAGTTAATTTCAAGACACGTTACATGGTGTGGCATGCATAACGTCACCATATATTCCTGGGCAGTTATGCATGTGCACATGCTGTGTAGCAAGTGTGACACGTCTGAGAAACATAGGACTCACTGCACTTGTGTTGTCCATGTGGCCTGCACATGTGCAGTAAATCTGATGGCTCCCAAATGCTCATACTTTTTGCATGCACAATAGTCAGTTGTCTAGAGGCCTGATGGGAATTGTAGCAGGGCCTGGTCAGCTGGCTGAAGTCCTGAAATCTGAAAGTTTATGGGCAAAAAATAAGACCCTTTTAAGGAATCCAAACATATGGTACTCTGGTTCAAGCAACAAAAGACCATCACAGAACCTCATACTGCAGGACTACCTGCACAACAGAGCAAAGCCTCCACCATCACTAGCAGTAACTAGGAGGGTGGAGAGGAAATGAGTAATTCTGATCACTTCAAAGGAATCAAGCCTTCCTTGTATCTTATCACTTAAGTCACAAGGCTCCCTGAACAGCCCTAAGAGGAGCTCTCAAGCACATCCACCACATAGCTTAATGCTTTGTCACATGATCAAGCTGATGTGTGCATTTTAAACACGCTAAGTTCAAACTCCACCTAATTTTAAAGTCACTGATGCAATCATTTGGGAAGCAGTGACATATACCAAGTTAAATAAAGTATCTCAGTACATTACCTAAAAAGGACATAAAGCTAAGGCTTGAGAAGCCTGTCAATGCTAAGGAATTTGAACTTGATTTTTATTAGAAGCTAGGAATAGAACATAGGTTTACTATGACAGTTGTCAATATTGCCACGCTATTTCAGAGCATCTAACATCTAAGCACTTAGTTATGCTCTCCATAACCGCTGC